GACTGTATGATGTTTATTTATTTAATAGTTTTTGAGCCAATCCATATAATTTACTTTATTTTGTACAAGTATTCGATGTTTCGGCAAGAATTCATAACAAAATCCAGTAAATTCACGGTTTTTGTTTATACATTCCTCAATATCAGCGATAATTTCAGTTTTAATAAAACATAAATAATTCTGGTAAATGAACACGCGAATAATCATTTTGTTGTGTCTTTGCAATAAAGAAAAGTAAGAAACAATAGCTTTGTACATCTGAATATTGTACGTTTCTTCTTTCTTTAAACTAAATTTATACGATAAATGTTTCTTTTCTTTAAAAAATCTAAAAAAAAATCATTGTCTTGAAATACGACACTATATGATGGAAAAAGTTCAATGTGTCTCCACAAAAAAAAAAAAACATTTCAAAGAAAAACATTAATGCAAAAGGCATGCTTGCACTTGAAACCACGAATGTAAGATGCAATTTATTACCTTATGAATTTATGAAGAATGAACAAACCGAAAGAGGTCACAATTTGAGCGTGCTTCACGGTACTCTCATTACATTAGCCAAAGAATGTGTTTAAAATTTGAAGCAATAAAAAATTAATTTACGATCGCGACCACTTGAAATACGATATCGGGTTAAAATGCACTTTCAGCATGAAAATTATGTTTCCTCTATTGCCGAATAAATGACTATACAAATGGGAAAATTAATGCCTAACCATTCACATCATTCGATTTTTATGTTGACCAAATGATGAGTAAAAGAAGACAGCCAAAAATTCGTGTTCTTCGTACCTGTGTACGCACTTGGCTTGAGAGATGCACGTTTTGTATATATAATGCTTTTAAAATAGTGGAACATTAACAAGTGTTGGTTTCAATACATCTTATTATTACCGCATGGAATTAGCGTTTTAAATCAAAAGAGGATATTTATGACTGTAGACTGAAATTCGATGTCGTCAATTCGAACATCGTTCAAGTGGAAAGCATAACAAAACATGATCGTTAATAAATTGACCGACATTGAAAATAAAACAATGGATTAAATAGCAATCATACACAATGATCAAATGCCTAGATAAAAAGCGTAGAGTGCGTGCCTAAAACTTGTTTCCATGGAATGGGCGTATCTTATAAGATATGCCGACACAAATGCAACAAATATTTTTAAAAGAAGATAGAGAAATGCAAATAAAGCAGAGAGTATCCAAGATATTTTATTTGGAACGCCCATAAACTCTACACACATCCGAAATTAGCACTGTATTGAAACATTTTGAGAATTGTTAGCACTAATATCGTGGTGGGATGTTAGTAAATTAAAACAAACCAATACAATTTTCTTATAAACTCAGCTAAAGGATAAATTCAATCCGATTGAATGGTTTTTTTTGCACACAATTGTGCGAAATGCGCATGCTTCACGTTTGCAAGTGAATTAAGTTTGATTCTATACGATACCAAAATATAGTATTTACTGATTGCAGCGACATTCTATCTTCCTATTACATCACACAAAGTGTTTGTTTACTGTAAGTAAAGCGTTCAAACAATGACGCTAGTAAGGTTGCTTCTAATATATCAGTCCGTGAAGATTCACAGTCGCGAAATTCGCAACGAAAACAATGTATTCTTCTGCTGTTGTTGATTAATTAATGCAATTATTCACAAATTATACACTTTATTAGGTAAAATACTGCATTGGATTTACAACATATGAATTAATGAGTGCAGAATATAAGTTATATAATAGATATTGATGCGTGCAATCGCGCAACAACGAATGATTAAGTAATTTACAATACAAATCACACTTTTTCGCTATTGTAATCATCAGAGCAAATCAAATGTCCAAAATTGCATATTAATATGTACTTTTGTTATAATACACTTTTGCTTTCGCACGTAGTTCATTTAAAATCAGTTGTTGATTCTCTCTGAAGAAAAGAGAACCAGTTTATCTATAAACACTTACCATCAATCATTTAATAAATTTTCGGTGTACTTATTGGTTTCCTTTGATTGCCTTTGGATGTGGTTAATTTTTAATTTTTGTAAGAATCCAAATTGCCACAATTCGGAGATGTGTTGATTTAGATCCGAAGATTTTTTAAAAATATGCATATACACAGTATCCATTGTGTCCTCATAGCAGAAGATTCATTTTTGTGTAGTGTACTGTTGTCGTCTGTTGTTCGTCTATTTTGAACTGTGTTAAAGTTCCGTAAATTTTCACGTAAGTCAGCATTTTAAACATTTGGGCAATATAATCATGTCAAAGCAATTTTGTTATTCAATAATTGGTTGAAAACAGAAAATCTGATTATTACCAAATTAAAGCCAAGACCGGTTTCTGAAGTCAAGAACGGTGTAAATCAATATTTTATTCGAAAAACATTGCCGACATTTCGGTTCTGTGCATGAATCTTCATCAAGGCCCATGAAACAATGAAAACCAAAGATAATAATCAGAAATTCTTATTATTATATAAAAATGCACCCAAATCACTAATCTTTAAAATCATATCCATTTTACCAATTTTCCCAATTGATCGACTGTTGCATAATTTTATTTAAAATGTCGTAACATATCTATTCTGAATTACAGTGAGTCATACAAAAATCCACAATAAATAAAAATAATTTAGATATGGGATATAATTTCAATATCCAATGTCGTAAAAACTAATTTTTATGGTTTTCATTTTATCGTATGTGATCACATTTATAATTCGTTTATTTTATAAAAATGCGGTATGCATTCAGACAGTAGTTTACGAGCGCATTTTTAATCAAAGTAATCTATACAAAACTGTACATAACCGAACAGCTTACCAAATCTCGTAAAATACATTCTCAAACAATTAAAGAGGGAAGATTTTTACGATCAATTGACTGCATTTCAATTAAAATAAATATTATTTTCTTTGATGATTCACTTTCGCATCACCATAAAAATTTACTATCCCAAAAATTACATGACGAACTACTCAATTCACTTTGGGCGTATTGCAATGACGTACATATGCTCAATTGTCGAAATGCACAACCTCAGCATTCTTAACATTTAGGGTGTGAAAAAATAGGGTCTACTTTATTTTTGATATGTTTTTTCGAAGATTAAAACTATTAGATACCAGTAGATACCATCATAAAATTGAAATAAAAAAAATTAGTGTAAGTCTTTCAGTGATTTCATGCAGTTTGTCTGCAATTAGGCAATTATTCGAATTTGCCACTTTTGTCATGGTTTAGACATAAAACATTGATGCAATTTGTTTTATCTCTCACACAAACGAAGAAAAACCAAACGTTGGTTCCTCGAGAATAAGAAAACGAGAAAATAAATTTGATTCGAATGTTGGCGACTAAAAAAACATTCATCGTACGTACTGTATTGTTCATTGATATTTTTAAAGTTAGATAGAATCATTAAAAATATGGAAAATTGTAATAATTCACATGAATATCATTTCCTTTATCACTTTTTGACTTTAAGAGATAAGAGTTTTTTTAATTTATTGCATACATGTCTGAATATATGCGTGAATTCCAGTTGAAATATAATACCCACGTTCATTCGCTTAGAATACACAGCTATCGCTAAGGTTACTGCGATAATGGAATTGAAAGAAAGTTGATTATCAAAAAAAAAGATCATGACACTTGGTAGTAGATAAGTCTGCAGAACTAACGGATAGAGTGTGAAAACGCATCTGATGAACAACCTACTATACGATGATAACTTGAAATTTCCAAATACGCACCATACACTGGATAAATACTTTCTGTTAAACCGTTTTGTATTTAGTATAAGTCGATATATCGAGCGCGATGGTTGGATATAGATGTTGGATATTCTATAGAATCGCGTGAAAGAAATCTGTATCAATTGGTATGCAACCGTAGTAAAGGGCACGATTTCAATTGAATTTGGTATCAAACGTGGCATTTCAAGTTTTTTTTTAAACTTCGCATTTTGGCATCCGACCGTTTTTTATGATAAGGGTAAAAATACATTTGATATAGTAATAGTTACCTAAACTAATAAGGGAAGGAACAATAAAATTAAACCGATTTTCAAACCTTTTTGAAAGTTTTATATCCCCCAATAAAAAAAGGCTCTTGCTCATCATATATGATCAATAAAATTGTAGATATATTTTTATCGTTTTATGCTAGACGTATGTAAAAACATTTGTATAGGTTTGAATGTAAAAACATTAAAAAAATATCAATATAATTTTGGATTTATTTTATAAAAAAAAGTTCCGTCAAAAAACAAAAAATCTAAATTGTTTTAATTTATTGCTTGCATTGTTATGTTTTTTTGGGACATTTTCAATAAAGCATACAAAAAATGTTTGAATGGAGAAAGCAAACGAACGTTTACTTAGTAAACAAACGATAATTTTTCTCATTCAAATAATTTTTGGATACCTAATTGAAAATTTCCCAAAAACATAACAATGTAAGTAATAGATAAACATTAAAACATACATTGTTGTTCGGTGGATTTTTTTCCCATAAAATAATTTCGAAACAATGTATTCGATATTGAATTGAATGTCCGAGAATGAAAGCGAGACTTCTATTCACAACTTATTGAAATGTAACACTGCCAAACAAAAAGTGCTGACTGTCAGCATTTTTTCTATGGCGGTGTTACATTTCAATAAGTTGTGAATAGAAGTCTTGCTTTCATTCTCGGGCAATCAATTATTCTCATTATTTCCATTTTTTGATAATCAAATCCAAAATCGAAGTGTTTATTGGCACAAAACAACAAAGTTTTGGTCTTTTTCCAAATTTTGGTCTTGTCCATCATTTTCGAAAATTATCTTCGAAAGACATAAACAAATCGAAAGCTTCAACGAAAAACTAACACTGGCAACGCCATCTGTTTGAAACATTTCACGATCGATTCGGCATTTGTTAGTCAGTGATGTTGAATTGTGACAGTGACATTTACCAACAACTGATTGAGAATGTTTTTGAAATTCGGTACGGTCGCAGTTTGATGAAAAAATCACGATATTTCTCATCAATAAATTGAATATCTATTGTCAATGTAATCATAGTGTTAAATATCGTAAAAAATATACTTTTTATATGCTAAAATATTGCAATATCGACGCATTTTCGGTCAATGTAACAAAAAAAACAAGTTTGGATAGTGGAAAGTATGTCATATTCTGTTTTTAATTTGTTTGTCGGCATTTTTAAAATTAACAGTTTTTCTTGGAAATTAAATTGGTTATTTTTTTAAATAAAACCGAATTGATGTACGTCTTTTTGTTTTACAGGCCACTATTGACACAAAGATGGTTAAAAGCAATAAATGGAATCTTATCCGGCTAAAGCAGGACAGAGTGTTTTTTTTAAATGTAGGTAAGTCGACAATCGGCCGAAATAAAGAAGCGGATGTTTGCACACCGTCTAATATATGCAGTCGCAATCATTGTTTTATCACACTTGATGCAATAAATGACTGTGTTACACTTATCAATCAGGTTAGTTTGGTTTGAGTGTAAAATTAAGTATTAAATAGCCAAAATAACACTAGATTTCTTGTGTTTTTTTTTTTCACTTTGGTTTCACTGTCAGTCGACAAACGGTACATATGTAAATGATGCTCTAATTGAAACCGAACCACGTAGTTTGAAACACGGAGATATCATCGGAATTGGATGTACAGAATCAATTTTTGAGGTTGAACCAAAGGAAAAGTGGAGCGGTTACTATATATACAAACTTGTTAACAATACATTAAGAGAGAACGGCAGCGATAATGTAATTAATTTAATAAGCGACGATGAGGAAGATGTTCAACCGCAAATTCCAAATGAAAATCAGGCTGCCCAAAGAGTTGAAAACCAAGTTGACAACGAAGACAATGAAGTCAATGAAGTCAACGATGACAATGATGACAACGATATTATTTATTCGCAGCAAGTTATGTTGGAAATAAAAAAAGAGGTGAATAACACCGATGAAATCGATGATGATTATTCGATTTTAATTGATAGCGATGACTCGGATGATGGTAATGAGAGCTGGTCACATAGATTATCGCAAAATCAAGATTTTGTTATTAAAAAAGTAACGGAACAGCAACAAAATAATAAGCGAAAATCGGTCAAAGAAATCGAACCCATTCCATTGTTAGCAGCAAAAAGATGCCGAAAAAACTCATTGCCAGCAACTGCCAAACAAATTTTATGCCCAGTGGAAACAATGCCAAGAGCACGTAATGACTTATATGATCAGCCATCAACGTCAGATGGAAGGACCAGAAGAAATGATGATGATAATGCGAAATCGATTAAAGAGAATGAAAAACCAAAACCATTTGTCGATAAATTTGATCCATTTGTTGCCAAACAAAAGGTAGACGAAGCTAAAAAAAATTTCGACGAAGCTCTCAAACAAGTAGCAACTTCATCGACGAAGAAACGTATTGCACACAAACCAAAAATCCATCCAAAAAATGGTCAACTCGTTTCAATATTAAAAAAAACAGTGCGCGAAGAAGGAAAGAGTGGAAGAAGGGGCCGTAGAGTACAATTCGCGAATGGATCGCCGACAATTCGTGAATACACACCGGATAGAGATGATATTGGTGAAATTATTGCATCACCTGTCAAATCAATGCAAGCACATGGAATGGATAGTTTAAGCAGCTTTCAAAACGATCCTCTGCATAATATCATCACAGACGTCACAGAATGGAGAACCGACTGGATATCACAGAGAAATACTACGCCACCAATAAACGGTGTTAATTTTGTTGTAGCACCTTTATCTCTTAGCTACCCGAATTTCGAATCATACAAAAAGTGAGTCATTCGATTCATGTTTATAGGTGTCAAATGTCAAATTGATTAATTTTTATTTTAAACAATTCTATAGCACCCTTACGCCGCTTCTCAAACATGAGCTGTGGTCATCGATTCAAGCTGAGAATCGTCATCAAAACCGACTAGAAGCAGTTATCAATGCAATGAGTCTTGCCAAAAGGGCCAACCGAAATCGATATGTATTCCATGTTCAGCGTAAGTTTGATGAATTTCCATGAATGCATTATAACTATTCGAAATGGTTTGATTTCATTTCAGTTGTCGGTGAAGGCTCAAACGCCACATCAAATACGGGTGATTTCGTTTGTGTTGAAACAAATAATCATCCCAATTTTTTTGCCTATGTCACAAATAGTCGTTCAACAGTCTCAGGTTGGTCGAATGTCAATTGAATTGTTCGAATTTGGCTTGTGAATAATCCATGAAATAATCAAATGTCTCTTTCGAAATGAACTAGGCTACTCAAAGACAACTTATCTCACACTGGAGGCATCTGAAGCGGTATCCAAATTAAAGCACGGCGAATCAACTACAATATACATAAAACCAATCGCTAATATTCGAACCGAGTTAAAGTTGTTCAATGCAATTTTTTACTTGAATCAAACACCATTTAAAAATCTTATTCTCAATCCAAAGTTATACAAACCACCAACAATTCCGAATAATATTACGAAAGAATTTTCATATTCAGGCTATGTAATTTTTCTTTTTAATTTTCGATTTTTAAATTGTCAACAGTCTATCAACATGAAAACCAATCAAACCAGAATTTCTGTTGATATCAAAACTCTTTTGTTTTCAATTAGGATGTATTGAACAAGGAACAATTGCATATTATGAAATCTATATACAATAAGTGTATGAGTAAACATCCAACTTTATCATTGATTGAAGGTAATTTTTCAAACATTTTTATCGCTGCTTTATTTATACAATTTTTCTATATTTTTCTATTCTTAACCATGGAATTGAATATTTTGCTCCATCATTCGATCTACGGACTCAACACCACAGGACCGCCCGGCACAGGTTCGTTACCTATTAAAAATTGAATGTTGTAAAAACTAAAAATTTATTGTCAATTGAAAAAAATGCCAGGTAAAACCAGGGTCATTGTATCAATTATTCTGCAACTTCTTTACGGCAAAGACATGACAAGAAAATTACGAGTCTTAGTTTTGACATCCAGTAATGCTGCCGTCGACATCATAGCCAGAAGATTGCTATATATTCGTGATAAAATGAACGACAAAATTGGTATAAGATTTTTTTCTGCAATTAGAATATTATCATTGTAAACGATGTAAAGTGAAATTAAATAATTTTTCAAATTTTACAGAGAAACAAAGAATTCTGAATGTAGTTCGATTCGGTGTTCTGAATAGCATGCATCCGGACGTACGAAGAATTGCACCACAAAATCTAGTCGCAACACCAACATCACCACGTAATCCCGAAATGAAGAAGCTCCACGCTGACAAAAAGAAGCTTCTAGAGGATAATGATTCGTTGAGAAAAAGTCAACACATTGCTGACAAAGAAAAGATTAAAGACAACGAAAAACGCATAAAATCGATAGACGCTGCATTGGAAAAGATGGGCAATTCATCCATATTTGAGTATGATAACATTAGGGATGTTATGACAAACGCTAGAGTTGTTTGTTCTACACTCAGTAGCTGCATCAATTTAAAACAGTGGGTTTTTTTCTTTCTTTGTCAACGAATGTGATTAATTGAATATTTTTTCCCGTCAAATTTCTAAGGTACATTGCAAAGTTCGACGTATGTTTTATTGATGAAGCGTCTCAGTGCACTGAACCGTGGACATTGGTTCCATTACAGTACGCTGTGTCATCGTTTATTTTAATTGGAGATTCAAATCAACTGAATCCAGTGGTTTTGTCAAACGTAATACCATTTTCGTACAATTTGAAAAATGTAGGAACATAATAGATTTTTTCTCTCCTTAGGTGTGTCGATCTAATAGCTTAGATCGATCGTTGTTTGCACGATTATATGATACATTTGGAAGTAGCAGTTCGAGATCACTAATCACATACACGATGACAACTCAAGTGCGTATTCTATCTACAAGTAGCAAAATGTAATCAGTAATTTTTGTTTTTTGCTTTTTTTCTCTTTATTTTTTTAGTATCGAATGCATCCGGAAATTTGTAAATTCCCAAATACTTTCTACAAAAATCGATTGATTTCGGCCGGAAATACAAAAGAACCCTTTGATCTTCAGCCCTACTCTGTATTCAGTTTAAATTATTTGCAGTCAAATAGTGATATGATCAATTATTATAATTCAGAAGAAGCCACTTTTATTATTGATATGTTAAAAGTGATGGTCAAACATGCTGATCCAAAGAAATATACATATGGCATAATTACGCCTTATGCACAACAGAGATCGGAAATTCAAAGAAAAATGGGGTATAACAATTTTGTTTTTTTTAGCACGTTAAATTTATGTTCAAGTCTTAATCAGGAACATTTCCTTTTTTTATATTACAGAACATCACAGACGCTTGCCGGTTTCAATATTCAAGTAAACACAATCGACTCTTATCAAGGTACATTTAAATTTATTTATTCAATTGTAATTCATCATGATCATTTCCATTATTTGTTGATCAATTTTCATTCTTTTGTGACCCTCTTTCAGGCCAAGAACGGGACATTATAATACTGTGTACTACACGAACGACTGGCATTGGATTTTTGGCAAATTTGCAACGTTTGAATGTGGCTTTGACGCGTGCCAAAAAATGTTTGGTGATCTGCGGAAATTTTACCTCAATATCGGTAAGTATAATAGATGATTTGAATTGTTGCGGCGAAAGAATAGCACTTATTTGCTTCAAAATAATACTTCAACATGAAAATGATTCGAAACATTCGAATAATATTTCAAAATACTAACGTTTCGTTTATAAACAACATTCATACCATACTTGACCAGAAGGGAATCCGTAAGTCACATTCAAACAAACTCAGTGAATAGCGACAACAATTCGTTTGGATGCGACATACGCACGGACTCCGTCATTAGGGTGAGAAACGGCTCTAATATTGCTAATTTTTCACAATAAGCCCAAATTTTTCTTAGTTTTTTTAGTTTTCTAATTTGTATCTACCCCTAGCTCCGTCCGCAACACAAATAGTGCCTATGAATAAGATCTGCGAAAATAGCACTCCCATAGCTGTGGCCGCAGTACATTCACTGGTTTTTTCTTTCAATTAACCGTGTTAATTTAACACAACGCACTCCCTCCCCCCAAATTTTTTTCTTTACGCACTTGTATTTTGCAATAAAAAAATCAAATAATAGTGCAACATGAATCAAGAGTATTATTTTGAAAAATATAAGAGCTATTTTTTCGCCGGAACGATTCGTTTTTATTTTCAGAATTTATTGATCATAATGAATCCATTTTATATTTTGCATACAAATAGCATACCAATGTATGGAAACATCTTTTAGCAGATGCAAAAGATCGACACAAATTCCACAATATCCCATCAAAATATGATTTTCAGCAAATTGCTGATTTGTTAGTAAAAAAGTAAATGAATCTATCTGGTGAATGAAATTATGTCAAAATTGATATTTTTTTTAAATATTTGAAATAAGTATTGAAGCAACCTGTAACAATAGTGAATAAAAGCGATATTTTAGCATATTTTTTTACCTGAAAACAACATGTTTTTTTCCCTTCAAATGTTACATTGTTATTCTTTGAATTGTCATTTCCATTGAGCAAACAATGGACATTACAATAGAATTCAATTTTCAGCTTCTCTGCTTCGTACCGAGTTTTCCACCAATTTGTTTTACTCTGTTTGATTTTGCTGAATGCGGCGCTTGTTTGCTTGTACACAGATGAGTCTATTTGTAGATTATTATGCCAACATGCGGTAGAATAGTTATTAACGCAACATGCTTTGTAACTTACGCGTTTTTGTACATTGTTTAAATTCTATAAGTTTACGTATTTATGTTGCTGTCGCATCACTAGATGGAGTATTGGTACTCATTTTGTGATTTTGATCGAATCCATTTGTGTTATATCGTACACGGTGCTATACTTTCTCGAATTTCTCATATCCTCGATCTTCTCTTTTTGTTTCTCAATTTATCGTAAGAATTTACAGTTTTTAGACCGGATAGAACGCATGCATGCGAGGTGGTTTTGCCCCACATTTATAAACAGTATATACGCACACATCATCATCGAAGCGTTGCAGAACGCATTAAATTTTTGTGTGTGCTACATTTTCCGATATGCTGTCAAATGCTTTGTTCAAAGCAAATCAGGGAGCAAAAACTCTTTCGAGCAACAAAAAGTCACTTCACCTATCGTCTAGCCCAGTGACGAAAAAACAACTCACGTTAAGCAAAAGCCGTACACAAATAGAAGGCCGCATGTAGAACAAATGTCCATACGGTCCTTCACAAGTTCGGGTATGGATGTTTCGGACGTCATGTGCTTATGCTATGAGTTCGTCGCGCTAAAAATGTTCTCCGCTTTTCGACTTGTCGGAGCGTGCTTTTCCTACATACAAATACACACCGATATAAGTATAAGGAGAGAGAGAGAGAGAGCGAGCGAGAGTGGTACGCACATACGTATACAATGTGCTTTCCACTGTTTTTTGTGCCCGCTCTTGGTTCACACTTGTATTGGTAACGCTTGTTTTTGTTCTTGCTGTGATGTATGTAAAAAGATGCGCGCGGATAATGCGTTACTCTCTTCTTTTTGGCTATTGTTGTTGGTATTGGTGCTGCTGCCTCAATATTATGAAAAACTATGTACGAACGACCACTGAGAAGCGCTCCAATTCGAAAGAAGGAAAAAAAAACAACACTCACAAAAAGAGAAACGATATATATATAAAAGAATATCAAATAAGAAGAAACGCTTTCCTTTTTATTCAAACACACAGTTCGTTCGCTCTTCTCGTGTATATTTTCAAAATTGTTATTGTAATGTCTATGTAGTGTGTGTGCCTATTGTGTATGACATTTTTTCGAGTCTGTCCATCAGTTGAGATTCGGGCACCAGACCGAGTGTTTCGCGTGTTGTGTTTCTCTCCTATACCTATTGAATATCTGTTTCTCTCTCATTTCAAATATCCTATAGACACGAACAAGAGAACGGAGCAAAAGTTATTAGCTAAATTAAAACGACAGCCAACGAAGCGAGAAAATAGAGCAACAGAAAAAGTGAACTTTTGACTTTGGTGGTGTTGTTTACTGTGTACTATTTAAAAAAACATTATTTTCCGGGAATTTTTTTTGTTTATAATTGTTTTTTGATAAGCATTTAAAAGTAAGTCAAACAAAAAAAAAGAAAAGAAAATTAAACTGTAACAATATATTCAGAGGATAAATTTGTCTCTGCTATATTTTGTATCTGAATTGTGTTCACGGTGAAGAATGAAAACGTTCCTGTTTTTTTCTTGCTTCTGCATTTTGGTATAGACTCAACGAATGTAATCGACTTTAAAATATACTTTAAAGTTTGAAATTTAATCAACATGTGTGTGTTAAATGATGTGATCCATTTGATGAAATTGAAATAAATGAATGTTAACGAAAGAAATGTTTGAAACGAAAGCTCAAATTTTTCATTTACACATTGTCTCGGCAACAAGCATAAACAAAATTACGTTTTATTTGCACATTTCGAACTATTTAAATTGAAGTGCACAATTTATTCGAATGGCCGATGATTCAAATGCCAATTTATGACAGAGCACATGTAATTGAAATAATTGAAGTAAGCATGGACGAAGCATGCAAAAGCATTTGTGCAAGTGTATTGTGATTGTGATGATTCTGGTTAGAACAAGAACTCTAGTGTCTAACTGGAAGAATTGTGTAAAAAGCGTTTTCATTCTAACGCAGAAGAAGTTTTCTTCAAAATAGATGCTTCTGGATGTTTAAAGTTACGCCCAGAACATTCTCAGCACACATATGTAACTTCCGTGGTAAAAGAAGTTGACAGAAAAAGATTTCTACGTCAGAATGCTTACATCAAATACCAATTCCATTTTTACAAGATAACGTCTAAAACTGAAAAATAATTACCAAATTATAGTGTTATACAAAACTTGCATAAAGTTCGAAACATTGTGGCGATGTACAAGTCGGTCGGTAACCATTTCAATCATTTCTTTGTGTACAATACAGACTATGGTTTCTTTTTTTTTTTTCATTTGGCAATATTGCCATCATTCGAAATTGATTATGCTCGTTTTTTTGTGCAGTTCAAATTTGGTTTGCGAAAAAAATTGAAATGGTGCGGTATTTGTTCAGGTTAAACTAAACAAGGTCGAGTTGCGTATGAAGCCCCACCACAAGTCTATTCCCACTTGACCATCGATAGAATGTAGCATTTCGCCTTTTTAAAAAAAGTGGATATTCTCTTTCTTTCAAATTCATGCTTTTGTGAAGAAGCTTTTACAAACATTTCGTGCTTTCAACGTAAGGATTTGTATGTAAGACCGAATTTCGAGCCACTGTCTATACAACTAGAGCAGTTTTTTTTTATTTCGACTTTTTTCTCTCATCCGAACATTGTTTCGAATAAATAAACTAAAGATGAACTACCGAAAAAAAATCAATGCCAAATGATAAATGATGTTGCAAATCAAATTTCGCCAAGCAACTGCAAGAAATGTAACATTGAAATTACGACAGCAATATGGATATTTTCGAATCCAATACATCGAGACTAAAAAGACAGAGTGAATGAATGAGATCCAAACATATGAACAATACAAGAAAATCAAGCCACATTTATTGAAAGAAATGGCACTGAAGTTCAGCAGACAAGCATGGTGCTGCTGCAGCGTGTTGGTCACAGCCGCAGGGATGTTGTGTGTGTTTTTTTCGCTTCTTCTTCTTCGTAATCGTGAATGTATCATTGTTATGTGTTTAATTCGATTATGTTCTTTTGTTTGAATGCCTTGGAATTCTCTCGTCGCTTAAGTGCATTGTCATGAGCCATGACCATTGAATAACCACCAGAAAAACTATTTGCTGTTCATTTTAATTTGATTTAACCATATCACTATTTTACCAGATGATTTATCTCAATCTTGTACATACAACATTCATATTGTGTCGCATACTTTTTGTTGCGTTCATTTTCTCGCTCAATCTCGTCTATTTGTCATGTGTATAGACGCTCACCATCATGCAATTACATATGCAGATCCCACAACGAGTTTTTTTTTATTTTCAGCCATCGATTTACCTTTGACATGGTACCAATCCACATAATGTGATTTCATTTCTTTTTATTATGCGTTTCAATTCGTTTATTGGGTGATTTTTTTGTGTGTGAATCATCATAAAATTGATATATTAATATGCATAAATTTAATGAAAAGCAAAAAAAAATTACATCAATAAAGGTTTATGTGCGAATACAATGAGACAATTTACCGCGAAAATATTCCATTTCAATGCGCATAAATTTTATTTTAATGTACATCACACAATACCTCCTTGTGAACACAATACAAATACAAAAACCAAAATCGAGATAATTAAAATCGCCCCAATTTACTAAATAACATTTTCGGCGTGGAGATGAATAAATCCGAAAAGGGCTTTTCGTGTGAAAAACAACAACTCATTGAAACAAAATACATCAAAACCGATTTATATTTATTTCACACCAAAACAAAATGGGAATAGTTTCACCTCATGATTGAGTATACGTTATGTGTACGCATGCACTTATATAAATGATTTTAAATTGTTTTTCTCGTTTTTTTGTTGAAACACGAAATTCAAATAAAATTCATGTGAAATCCGTTAAAATGCCAAGAATACAAAGCGAAAGTTAATAAACAAATTTGTCTGTCCATTGATTTGGTTTGATGTGCAGTGGATAATACAATTGGTTCGTTTTTATTGGAATTAAATTCGGAAAAATATTTCGCCAAAAACACGGAATTTGATGTCTTTTGTCTCAAAAAGTTGAATGAGTAAAAGTGAATTCATCGAAGTGAATAAACAATTTGAAAGTCAATATTGAAATGTGCGTTGTCATATTAATTCAAGCAAAGTGTATTCGTGTCATATGTATTTGCATTTGATTATTGTGCGAGGATAAAGAACACATTTAACTGCGCATAATGTTGATTATGAAAATATATATGTTGCCGCAAAAATTGGTACAATATTGTTAAACCACGGAAAATTCAGACGAAAAATAATAATAAAAACAAAGAGTTTAAATTGTATACACTCAATTAAGGACATTCGATTCACGTAAAATCAACATACATCCATTCGCAGATGAACAGACTGATTACGATTTAAGGACGCAATAATATTTTAACTACGGTCTTAGAAAATAAATAAATCATCATTATTCGAGCATAAACTTCGCATACATTGATTCCCACAATTGAACGCATAATAATATCATAAGGTAAGTTACCGTTTATTTCTAAATAATTTCCAATTTCAGCTGGATATCGGTGAATGAAATACAGTGTTTTAATTCGATGGTAAAAATCATTCAAAAAATTACGATGCAAAAAAATTTGAAAAAAAAAATCGTCTGAAATAAGCAAAACTCACTCAATTATAATTTACATTTTCATCGCTTTCTATTTCTCTATACAACGTTCTTTAAAGGGACCATTATCTATTCAATTTCCTTTGTCCTGCGTTTCAAATGAAGATTCTATGACACTATTCAAGTCGATCAGACCTCTTCTTGAATAAAAATGATGATTATATCACATTTAAACGAAATCATGACGTTAAAGTCAAAAATATAGTTGAAAAAGTGATATTCATTCGGTACCGTTCGTTCTACGTACAATGATTGTTGCCAACAAAAAGAATTTTTTTTCTTCTCTTTCCTTGCAGTCTATAATGGTATTCATGTTTTTTATTTTTAATAAAAATTCATAAGATCGGTCAAAATCATTTATCAAAAACGACGCACACTAAGAGTGTATACATATCACATCTGCATCATTTTTGGCTTGAAAACGCAAACAATATTTTGAAGCAGGGCTTTTGTTCGCTAAAAAAAAAACATTTCACTACAATAACTACTCACGTTTATCACAATATCGACGCATATTTGCCAATCGTGTTATCTCTTTCTATGTTTCATTCTCCATTTCTGATATTCCTCATTTTTCTTCTCGCTCATATTATTTTTCGTTACCACCCATTGTGGTTAGTTTCGTGCGAATGCATTGTCATTGTTTTCGTCTTTGCTGCATTAATGTTGAATTGAAAAGAATCACATAGATGCTTAAACATTGACTTTTGTCTAGACTTTATACGACCAAAGTATTATCAGTGTGGGATTTCATAACAACATTTAAATGGTTTAGTTGACACACATAATCATTGTCACAAATCCAAAACCGAAGAAAACAAATTGTGTGAAATTGCTCTTCTCAGTTTTTTTTATTATTATTTTAAATGTCGGTATGATTTTGTTTGTAGGACTATTGTCTTTTTGCTTTTGGAATGCATTCTCATCCGCCTTGCGTATATTTTTCTCTCTCTCTCTCCATGGACAATCTTCAAACGATGCCATGAAGCAAAAATATTCTTAGCGTATATAAATCGCTTTTCTATAAAATTTATGAAAATAAAAATAACGAAGAAAAAAAAGCGCGCAAACCGCAAATACAAATGATACAGTGTGTGCTTTCCAGTTTGTTTGCCTTCCGATGCTTTGAAGTGAATAAAACATCTTTTATTTATAACACATTGAAGTTTATGTTCTCACAATTTCCTCTGTGCTCAATAACCGAATGTCAAGAGAGGAGAGCGAAAAAAAATTATCTGGCAACATATATGACTCTGGAACATTTTTACGATTGCTCAAGGCATTTGCAATTTGTTTTGTTTTTCACAATATTTGGGCATTTTATCGATTTCGAGATTTGTTTTCAACATATTGTCATCTCTTTGTACAATATCTCTCAACCATTTTTCGGAGCAAAAAAAAAATTGAAATTGACAACGGTAAGAGCTTTTAAGATTGGACCATTAATATTGGCCAATACGACGATATCATGAAACAAAACACATTCATTCTATATTGTAGTTTATAGCTTGTAGATTTTTTTCGAATTGTTGAGCCTTTAAATGTGTTTTAAGGTGTAATTTTCGATATAAAATCCGCAATGAGAGTGCAGAGACATATATTGCCACAATGTGGCTGCTACAAACACACACTAACACTTGAACCACAAATCCATCGATTGTATCATGGTAAAACCGAAAGAAAGAATGAGGCAGAATTGAATTTTCCAAAGAATGAAAATGAATAGACGAAGAAAATTGCACACAGCATATACCTATGCTTAAATACACACATTTTCACGGCATGTTTTCTCGATACAATTTTGATCTCGGTGAGGAACATGTTTTTCCCAACCACCATTTGATTTTGACCTCCCGTTGTGTAGACTGTTGTGTTGACGGATCCGAGGATATATTCTTTTGCTATTTTCCATATAGACTGAATGAGCCTCAATGAAACCGATATTTTAATTCTTAAGAAACTTAGCGTAAATACATGAACCAACAATACATGCTTTTTGTGGTGTAATCATGCAAAAATACAAATACCTATGGCCGTACCACTGAACGGTGAGCTTATATGTTTCTGGGGCTATTGAATCGCACTCAATTTCAATATGTAATTTTCATCCATTTTGGTGAACACAAAATTGTTCAAACACCAAGAGGCAACTGCTTTAAAACATACATATTCACCGTTGCCGAAACACGTTGGAAAGGCTTCTATGTTGATTCATTCACCCATTCCCTGTTTCAGATTCGATTTTTCCTCAATCAATTGTTCTATGTCTATCTCTAATGTATCATTTGAAGCATTTTGTCTTTGTGCGAGTGTGTGTGTGTGTTTGAGTTAATGTCTATTTTTTGTTTGTTTGAATGTGTTGGACTTTTCGACCCCCAATTTAACAAAGTTGAACAAAAACTGTTTGCGAACAGTTACATACTGTGATTTGAGTGCCAACCAAAGTGTAAAATGTTCGAAATATACATTGAACATAAGGCAAGATTATTTGATTTATGAGGGTATTCGATATTCATAGGGAAAAAAATCAAATTTATTTACATTATACCACCAAATATTGGACTATTTTGTTTTGATTTTTTTTTCTCAATAAAATACAAAATAATATGAAATTTTTATTTAATTTAAACGGCTTTGTTATAAAATTGTGAAAATTTTTTGCCCTACCAAACCTTAATTTTCAATACTTATCGCCGCTTCGTGTCTGTTTGTGAATTACTTTGAATGGAATTATACAAATACGAAATTCCATTTGATTGAATTCTCCATCCGTGTGGTGGTCATGTGTGGTATGATAAGGTAGATTCAAATATGGAACACACGCATTGAAATTGGTTTGTGGCATGCATGCTATAATCATACAACGGTCTTATATATTAAGTAATATATAAGTATTTGATTTCTGAAGTCCAATTCCGAGCTCATGCTCATATGAATTCATTGGATATCTGTATATGGAAATTGTTCCCTCGATTTTGTCCGGCCAAATACATAAAAGGAAGTTTATTGATGTGTTTGTTTTTCCCTTTGACTCGACTATAATTTACAGCTGAAATGAAATTTATGTGCATTTTTTTATATCAAACGTCTACATTTGATTGTATATTTCAAGCAATTCCGCCGCGTTCCGCCGTAAAAAAAACATCAGTAATAAGAAAAACAATATACACTCCACCGCAACTCGAATCAATTGCCCTACTGTTTGAACAATGATTTTTAGCTTTTGCCTGCTACTGTTTTCTTTTTCGCATACTCCTCTTCAACGTCCTATTCATTTTACATTTTCAATGAACAATCGAACTGCAAAAAAATAAAACAATAAAAATACATACATTCCAATTACTGCGATATGCATTTTTCGTCGAATTGAGACTGTGCTAAAAAAGCTTCCAATAAAAATTGTGGACTGGCAATTGATTTTTATTTTCACAATTCAAATTCGTTTGTATTTCCTTATCTGGAAAAATGCATTCGTTTCGATTGAAGCAATTTTGAATATTGAACCAAATCGGTTAACCAAAGCAATTATTAAATGGATTGAAATGATTGGGCACGTTTAATCGTTTTTGATTTTGTGAGATAATACATTAAAATGTTGATTGTTGATACTAATCGAAATTACAATGATGTCTTTTTTTAGTTGTCGTCATTGCTTTATAAATAGTTCAACCATTCGGCATACGAACGAAAAACTTATGAAAAGTTTTTTAAGCTTTAAAATGCGTGTCAACAATCAAAAAAATGTATCATTGAAGCGATGAGCGGAACGATATCGATTTTATTGCAAAAATAAAGAGCCGTTGAAAACTAATGAAAAAAAAAAACAGTGACTGTCAAGTCATATTCATGAGGATGAAATCTCTCTTATGACTCAGATTTCTCGTTCTTTCTCTCTCTCCTTTCCGTAAACAAACTGATGGGTTTTTACTATATAACACTTCAATGATCATAATTTTTTTTACTTCGAAATGCTTTCGGTATTTTTTTGTGCGATTTACAAAGGTCACACACAAATCACATATATATAAAGCGATATAATCATATTTGCGAGAAAGAGTGTGGAAATATTTTCTTTTTTTTCTTTTTATACATTTGCGAAATCAACACATCGGTTTTGCATATACGCTATAAATATTTTATAGTATTTATAAACTTCAGTAAATAATATTGTAATTCAAAGTGCGTGTGTGAGTGTGTGTTGATCACAAGGAAAACGGAAAACAAAAAATCCCATAAATAAAATGTGATGTTACATGTATACGGTGTTTTTCTTTGAGTTCAAACCATTTCTCTATCTCTCTTTCTTTCAATTTTGTTCGCTGCACTGTTCTTGAAATCTTATGGTTGAGCCGGCGTTATGTTCATTCGATGCATCAAGTTTTTTTTTTTGCACTTCAATTAAACTGAATGATTAAAATGAATAACTTGTATGAAGTGTATCGTTGACGTTTCCCTGGAGCTGCTACAATACCATATAGATAAATTGTCATGATTTTTATTCAAATTTTTACACAATCCAATTGAAAAAGAGCGATAAGTATGAATCATGTATTTCCATTCAAAGTTCATCACTGGAGTTTTGTGTTTTTCCCATTTGCATGGCCAAGAAATTAATAATTAAACAAATCATTGAACATTTTCGTTTGTTTTTTTTTTTATCTTTATTTATTTGTTGGCGGTCGCTATTTTATTCACGAGGAAGGTAGGTGCTTTAAGAAAATGACGATGTATAAAATACAAATAAATCGCTGATTCCATAATATAAATTAAAATTCTAGAGCATCGAATGAATGATTCTGTAAATGATGTCAATATTTTGATGAAAAAAGTGAATTCAAGTGAATCGGGTC